TTTGTACTACGAGATCTAATTAACATAATTCAGTGCCAATCCATCCATTGCCTGTTGAGTATAAAAATATAGCAGTTAAAACAAGAGTAGACGCTATAAACACTAAATCCTCATTAAAGAAAAGTCCCACGGTCGTAACATATTTAATATCCCTACAATTAGTATATTTACTAATCATTAACCTATTAGGGTTTTTAAGTAAACATAATCAAATTAAAATGTAAGCACGTATTTCCGTTGAACCATATGTATATGGAAGTACTAGCAATAAACATCGTACCATAGAATAAATAATTATAAGACCACACACAGTGATATTGGTGTGGTAAGCCCTTTTACAGACGTGTTCTTACTACACTGTGTGCTTTGCCAACGGAAAAAGAAACCGTGTGATGACTACATCTGTCCTGAGTGCTTTTACTGTCAAAACTTTCCAGTCCAACTTAAAGTAGACCAATTTTTCAACATTTTTATGTTGCCATCTCTTGAAGCGCGGAGACAATAAATTAATAAACAACTTCCAAAAGGAAAAGTTATTAATTCGTAATTTTTTTTAGTGTGATTATATTACGCAATTACATCACTAAAAGCTAAACCGATATTCACAAAAAAATTTGCAATCAATAAGGTTTAACTATAGCGCTGGCCGCAAATAAATTTTCTAACGGCTGAAGCCATTTTTATTTGCCAACCAAAATCTTATAGATACGAATCCATCGCATTCTAAATTCAAATATTTTAAATCCAATTCGTGTCCGAAAAATCTCGCCATTCATCAGTGTGTTCCTTTCACGATTAAAATAGCGTATTTTGCTTAGGAAATACGTTTTAGTAGTTTAGGCTCGGAATCAATGTTGAGATCCCTGGAGTGCAGTCAGTTGTAAAATGTAACCACTAACAAAGGGGACTTTGGATAAATAATTAGGTACCTGCCTGCCAAAAACCAACATGCTAAGACAGCAAACAACACTGTTTCGGTGGACAAGCACCACAGTCCTATATATAAATATATAATTACTTCATAATGACACAATTACAAGTGCGTTGACCTCGCGGATCGCGAGCGACGACCGCGGATGGGGTCGTAACATAGATATCAATAGATCTTTTTGAGAGATAGTCTGACCCACTAGATTGTGATATGTGCTTTTATCAGTGCACGGTGGGTTTGCTGTCTTGCGGAAATATTTTAAATACCTTGTTAGCTAAATTCAGCTCTATTTCGAAAGAATGACTTACATTTCTCAAAATAGGAAGTGAATTTCTCAAAGTAGAAAGACCTCTTCCAGTATATCAATCTAATATAATAAAATATCAGTATAATAAAAAACAGAGCTTAACATTTCGGATATTAGTTTCGGTAAACAGACACATTTTTAGTAGGTACTAGCTGATGCCCGTGACTTTGTCCGCGTAGTATTTATTATTCCTGTTTAATATGTATTGATGTATGTACCTACCTATTTATTATGTCTGGGAATAAAACCAAATTTAACAAATGACGTGTCGTTCTCTTTTTTTGACTTAGGTCGAAATGAATATACTTAAGTAGGTTGTGTACCAAGCTGTACATGTTACTATAGTTTTTAACTCTTTAATTTTAACCCACGAGAACTCTTTAATTTTCCATGATTAAAATTTAAAATATTGACCGGGGTTGTAAGGTACCATCATGCAAAATTTCTTTTAAATCGTTCCAATAGTTTCGGAGATTAGCCCGTACAAACAGACAAATAGGCAGAGAAACAAAATATTTTAAAAATCTGGATGTGTTACTATTTCACTTCTAACATACCCTTGACTAAGTTTTTAGCGTTTTTTTTTTTCTATGTACAGACAATCGACGTTTACAGTTTTATTATTATTAGTAGGTATTAGATATTCCGTGAGATAACAATATATTTTTTAATTAAAAATATGGTATTTATAATTATTTTTCCATTCAATAAATGGATAATAATATTAAAAAAAAAAAAACAATAGGACTAATACGTGAACAATTATGAAAATTCAAACGATGCATCGAAGACACTAGAGGAAATAGATGAACAACAAGCTATATATATTTCTCCATACTTATAATAAAAGAAACACTAGGTGTCATGTCGTATAGGGAGGTCAAGGATATGACCTGGGATAGAGCTGGCTGGAAGAAGATGCATGAATTAGTTGCACCGACAAGAGGAAACTCTTAAATGATTAAAAAAAAATTGTTATAAATGTATCAATATATGCTGTTTGCCTATAAAAAATTGTTACAATTATTCTGTGGAAACAATTGTTGAACCTAAATAAATAAATCATCCTACAAACGTACGGTGTAAAAATTATAGTCCAGTTACCATTTATTCGTAGATCTACCTACGAATAAAAGGTATTATAAAATAGTACAGTATTGAGTAAGATATTTAACTGTCGATTCAGTGAGAGACATTTAGCAGAGTCAAGTACGGGAGCCAGTCACACTACGCCTTGCCTTTCCCCGCTTCGGCTTTCACTTTACCGGTGTAACTTCGATGAGACGCTGTTATTTTGCTAAACACGTCCAATAAATTTACGTATAGATAATTATTCCAACAAAACTGGTAAAAATAATAGAATGAACGGAACAGGAAAATAGTTGATTCTATCGTTTATTCTAACCGCATACGTATTGGCTTATTGACTATGCCACAGTTGAATTAAAAAGAATACGTTATGATTAATTCAATAAAACAAATTTTTCTTCTAGATCAACAATATGTACAGAGGTATACAAAAACTTTATCAAAAGGAATCTAATGTTATTTAAAATATCTCCCATTCAATATTGCAATTGGTGACTATCATACAAACCTAAAATAATATTGTATAATTAAATTCAAGTTCAGCTTTCAAATTGTTTAAATAATATTAAATACACTCTACGCATAGGGAGCACATTTTTTTTATAACAATTTTCATTACAACTAATAATTATAATTAGATGAATTAACTTTATACAAAATCAACAATCTATATGTAGCACTAAACATTTTGCTGAGCTAATATTATAGTATTTAATGAGGGTTGAGCGCTGTTGTCTGAGATATAGGTTTTATAACCTAATTCTGATAGAGCTGTTTAGGCTGATCCAAATGTACAAATGATTGCGTACCTACTTTTACTGTAATTTCCAGTGCTGAATTTGTTACAATCATGGTTATGCAATAAAATTATTATTATTATCTGTGCTAATGTTGTAAAACGATAGATTAGTATATCTATAGCGATATAACGAACAGGAAAAATTTGAAAAAAAAAATCATTTTATTAATTTCATAACCTAATTTTTTGTTATGATCGCTATCGGCATCTACTACTCCATTTATTTCTTGTAAACCATGCAACAGACTTTGTTACGAGTTTTCCTGTCCTTCAGATTTTTTAATGTAATGTTTGCATGTTATTAAACTTATGAATAAGTATATAAATTCAATATTTTATTATAATTTTTTCCCACGTAAGAAACCGGAACGAATCGCTAGTTTACTATATTATTAATTTTACATTCAGACTTCTGTAAACTCGAATGAGTGATTGAACATCTGCGCATTCAGTATGAAAAATAAAAGCCAAAAGTTGGATTTTTTTTTATATATGACCCAATTACTTCCGTATCATCATCACCTACCTACGCAATTTATCACACCTTTGTTACTGTCTAAATCGAATATCTGCAAACAATGAAATAGCAATCAAGTTCGATTCCGCGACAATAGCTCACCCATCCACCTGTTTGCCGAACGACTGACCCGCGACCGTTAACCCGCCGTAATGCTACCGTATTCGTGTTCAAATTAACATTTACCTCTCTTTCTATTCATATACAACTGACAAAGAGAGACGCGTTGCGATACTAGAAGTCAATACAGTTTGGTCGACGGTGAATCATAGCATGATGATTCGATATTCAGCCAATGCCGAAGCCGAAGTGCCCTCATTTTGCCGATTGTCAATTATAAGTCAGTAAGTAATTAATAATGGTAATTTTTGAGTATTTTTCCCAAAAAAAATGGTTAATTAACTATTTATAGAGAATGATTTTATATTTTAACAAAAACTACCAATATAAATCTGCACCATTTATTCTCCAATTTACTTCCTGGCAATTAAACTGCTACCTGTAGATTACAATATTTTTTTTTTCTCTATTCTAAAGTTACTACAAAGCTATTACTCGTATGATAAAGAAACTGATATGTACGAAATCTCAAGACAATCCAAATCAAATAAAAATAAACCGCATTAAATATCAAATAACGGATGCAACAGTCACAGACGATACAAAGGCTTCAAACTTTTTGCGTCAGTATAAAAAAAAACAAATCACCAGATAATAAAGACGGAAGAGATTCAAATACAAAGAAGAAAGCATAGACAATAACTCGCATGATGACAAAAACTAAATATGGACAGACAAAGGCGGTGCTTACACCGTTCGCGTCGTGTTCTGATAGCATCTAAGCGTGCTCAGAACCGTTAGTACGAATGTGCGATCATTAGCCGTCTTTGTCACTATTTTTAACGGAATGAAACATCGGACAATATTCCCTGTTGATTCACGAATGTCTAAGCATTTTTAGATTTCATAAAATATAATTTTCAATTATAGAATAACACAAAGGCAACATCAAAAAACAATATTTGGTAGAAGCTCAAGATATAAAAATGTATTAAGAATATTTATTTGGGACAACTGAAATTTAATAAATTTAAAATAAACACTACAATATATGAAAATTCTATTAAGTACATCAAGTTCATAAAATTTAATTGCTCAATTATATTGTTTCGTAAATAAAATTAAATCTTTGCCTTTACATTATATTTAACATGGATATTTAATTTTTAAATTAAAAAGTTTGGTAATTTACAAATTTATCTCTAAGTTCTACCCCATCGGAGCCTAATTTATATGTTAATTTTTTTTTCTATATTCTCTAAATTAAATTAAAACTGTAATAAAATAAACAACTCACCTTTCGTCGCCACAGGAATGGATTGTCGCGTCATATCCTAAAATGGAAAAAACAAATTAATCACATTTCAAATATAAAAACACAATACAAAGCAAAATAATACACTCCAAGAAGCTTAGGATTAAAATGAAAATAAAATATTAAAGGTAAACTATTTACAAAGAACTATGGATAGACCTGAAAGCCCGGAGTGAGTGTTAGCGAGATAGGTTAGGTATTTATACTATTCATAGAAGTGACTAACTTTTTTAAAGCAATTCCAGAATATGAAAGGTATCATTTAGTATACACAAGTGTCTTCGATGGGACACCGGAAATAATAATGTTAGTGGCTGGTATTTTGTTTAAAACGATTACAAACCCGCATTAGAAAATGCGGTGATTTCGCAATAGACTTTCGAAAATGTATCAAATCCTAACATAAATATGCGGGTTGTAGTGACCCATTTCGAAGTACACTGTAATAAATGTTACGTAAAATATTATAAGCGTTACAGTTCAGAATTTAACAAACATAAATAAACAGAGCGAACGTGTTTCACCGCGAGAAATTGTTGATGTGTGTTACACGAAATCTGCAATTGGTTTACGAGCGACCATCACATCGATTTATTTATAGAACAACCGAGCAAATTGCACGCTCTCAGTTAAAATACGTTGCAGTTTAAATCCTCAAATAAGGTATATTATTAGGTACTTCGAGAAGAAAATTCTAAAACTTAGCTCAAAAATAACACTCAGACCTTCTACCTTCTTAGAATAGAATTTAGCGTGATATACATAGCTAGATATCCTGAGTAGAGATCCACTCATTATTTACTAAAATCGTCAAATTAAGTTCACAGCAGAAATCAAGGATCAAAACGTGAGTTGGACGGTAATTAATATGCATGTGTCCATGCATATTAATTACCGTCGATTGGTCCAGGAGGCGAGGGAATGTTAGGCTAATTTGTTTAGATACGATACGACTTAAGAATTACAACGGTACCGTCGCCGGGAACTGTGCCGTTTATACGGTCGTCATTTGTATGCTGTTAGGACAATAATCGTAATGATTTGATGTGGAAACAATTTGCGTTATCCTGTATGCAATCGCTGTAGCTGATAGTTTTACTGTCGGAAACGTTATTAGGACTGTGTAGAAACACTTGGATTCTAATATCTACAGAATAGGACATCTTTTACGCCCATTACAATGGAATTGCTTTTCTTTTGCTTACAATATTTTTTAGGGATTTTCGTCTTGCCGGTATGACAATCTAATTTTTTTACTGCTTAAATTATTTTAAGTTTCGTAAGTTAAGTAGGTATTTATTTATTTTTATACTTGTACTTTGTACAAGTATAAAAATAAACTAACTAAAATAGACTTAGTTTCTTAATTAAAAAAAAAAAAAAAGAACTACGAATATTAAGTTTGTTCCTTTAAAAATTTTCAATTTATATATTTTACTAGACCTAATAAAACGATGTTGATAAAAAAAGTTTATAACTTTCTTAAATACGTAAGTTTTATCCCCGAATCTTAAACGTGTTCTAGGTACAATATGGTACTGGCCGAGGTACACAAGGTATGTTGTACCTTGGCCTTATTTGCGATTTTTTTAAACGTCTTAAACACATGGAAGTATAAATTATCCATTTATGATATTTTACTGATAGATACTCAAGTAACTTATCTTTTAAAATATGTACATGTAGTTTATGTTCTATAAATCAAAATTATAGATTTTTTTTTTCACAAAAACTGTCCTAGGTTCGACAGGTACGAATAGACATATCCTAACATTAAACTAAGCGGTATAAATAGATATTATAATATTCAGTTGATTACGCAAACGCATGCATTGATTGCCAAGTAGGTCTTACGCACAAGTGCAATACAGATAGGGTTGTCAGATATCAGTTAATATCCAAAGAACAAAAATTAATGTACACAATACATAAAAAGATTGAAATATAAGTTAATTTAAGGTTATAAAAAAAACTTCAACGTAATGTACGTAACGAACAAATAAACTAAAATCAAAACTGGAAGCCAAGGGATAAAATACAAAAAAATGTAAAGTTAAAACTATACCTTTTTTAAAGTCGTTAAAAAAAATTAAACCCACAAATAAAATATATACGAAACAATAAAAAAAATTAAACCATATAATATATAATTATATGGTTTAATTTAGTATCCTTATTTGTGTTTTGACAACCCTAGTCACAAGCCATATAAGGATAGGACAATTATGTATAATGGTAAACAGACAAGATTCAATATATTGTAACCTTGTACCAAAATTCACTTGTGATAAAAATAACAATATATAATAAATTTAAAATTTCTTGTTTTACACATATTTATAAACGCGTCACGTTAAACCCCAAAAATAAATGTATTTAATTAAAACTTTCCAACTATATTCATAGTTTTAGTTAGTTAATACATATTATTTTGGTATTAACTTTTAAATTTTTTTTATATACAACTTAGAATGGCAAACAAGCTGACGGCCCACCTGATGGAAAGTGGTAACCGTCGCCTATAGACATGAGCAGTACCGTGGATATAACAGAGTATATTGTATCGCCCATGATACCCCCATGCGTTGCCATTCCTGAGGACTCAGATGTTATTCCTTTTGTACCCTGTAAATTCAAGCCATTTGCCACCCGTCAAACCGAAACACAACCATGCAAACACAACTGCTTCACGGTAGAAACACGAATGGGACAGAGGTACCCAAGCAATCGACTTTTGTACAAAGTCTCCCTCTGGTAAATTTTCTCACTACATGTAATACACGTTAATTCCCGTCTCTTATAAAACATATTTTTGTAGTATTTTGACCGAACTTCAAGGTGATAATAATTTTGAATTTAAATTCCTGAAGCCCTTCAAGAGTTTCACAGTATCAACACATAACGGGGTGATCTGGTAAGGATGGGAAATAATCCATTGATATAGAAAGAAGAGTGAACGCACCCAGTACACCTTATAATAAAAGTAAAGTTAAATAAAAGCACAAAAAAATAATATTGTAATCCCTGATGGCGTAGTCAGAGTCAAAGACATTTATTGTATCGTAATATCAGTAGACTGTTACCATTGTAATAGTCTACAAATATTACTATTTATCAACATAAATTATTATTTCTTTATAATTTTTATTTATATTTATTTTTATATTACTATTTGATGAAAAATTTATAATTCAATTTGACCACAGTTTACCGAGCAAATTGAAAATCAACATAGCAGACGCTGGATTCTTCCAGTATGCTCGATGAACTCGGGGCGCGCTTACCACAGTCAATCGTGTTTATTTGGCATATATTTTAAAATATTGTTATATTTTAACAAAAACGTAGAAAATTAACACTCATTCATGCGTCTCCTTTCAGCAAAGGACGTAAACTATTTGATATATACAAGTTATATCAATTTGATTCAAAATATCTATATTTGGAAACAAAACAAACAAAAAACTACACAATTATACTTTATTCCGATAAAAGTTTGTAACCAAATTATCACAGAAACACTCTCTGAATGAGTTTATTAATAAACCGACACAATCATTCAACGAATCTTTTTATTTTTTTTTATTTTGTACGTTTATTGGACAATAACAGTCTTATTATCGTGTCAATAACTCTTTTGTTTACATTTTTATATAGTTCTATTGATATATGCGATAGATATAATAAACTAGAATATCCAAAAGCATCAAATTTATAAGAAAATCTAAAATATATTTATCAGAAATAATCCGAATAGAGTTGGAACGGGAGGCAGTTAAAAATAAATAATTGACTACACTTACACTAAATCCAATGTCGGAGTCTATATACTTATATGGCGATCGGCGTTTTCGCCTATCTCCGTACAAATCTTCTGGAGTAAATCCAAAGGTCTAACTGTAAATTACCGTTGGACGCGACATTGAATAGCTTCTGGGAACCGCAATCTCTTCCAGGCGATTAGCCCTTTTATTACGAACAATTTACACACAGGGAACAATTCCTAATGAGCATTATAAAAAACTGGTCGAGTGCGTCTTGTAGATGCCAACTGAGGGGCCCGTAATACGAACTATTTTGTGCTAATTCTATTTTATTTAAAAACAACAAATAAAGATATACATTTACATATAATTAAATATAAAATATAGAATGCTCTTTTCTATCGTAATAGTAATTAGGGAGACCAGAGGGAGACTTTGTACAAAAGTCGATTGCTTGGGTACCTCTGTCCCATTCGTGTTTCAACCGTGAAGAAGTGTGTTTGCATGGCTGTGTTTCGGTTTGAAGGGTGGGATATGGCGTGAATTTACTGGGTACAGAGGAATAACAGCTGAGTCCTCAGGAATGACAACGCATGGGGGGTATCATGGGCGAAACAGTATACTCTGTTATGTCCATGGTACTGCTCTTGTCTATAGGCGACGGTTACCACTTTCCATCACGTGGGTCGTCAGCTTGTTTGCCATTCTAAGTTGCATAAAAAAAACGGTAGCACACAGTGTCTACCTATAGACGCTGAATATCTCTTATCAGCAAAATTTTACATTCTCACTAATCTGTCATGCTAAAATTATTACGGAACCCTCTTTACCTTTTTTATTTTTTTTTTTATTTTTATACAACTTGAAATGGCAAACAAGCTGACGGCAGTTGGCAGCAAAACCCTAAAAAGTACAACTCAGAGCTCGCTAGAAAATCAGGAAACTATTATACATTACAACTCTTGGCCATTATAAAATCATTGGCGTGAGAAACTGCGGAGGTTATGTTTGTGACGATTATTAACAGGTAACTACATAGTTGAGTTTCACCACAGGGAAATTATATAACCTTTATCTATACCTTTGTCACACCTTTTTTACTACTGGCCAGCGTTAAACTGGGATGTGGTCTGTGTAGCAAATTTTATTCAATGCGTCAAGCTATTTAAGCCTGATGAAGTAATAATTTTGACATTGTATTATATATGATCATTATATGTTTTTTTTTTTTTTTTACTATAGTACTATATATTAAATTACAGAATTGACATTTTATGAAAATTGAATATAATCGTAATCTTTTATAGCTAATTATTAGTATTAATTATTGTAAATAACTTGACATATATAAGAATTGTAATTGGGTGTAGTGTGTTGGAGTTTGATCATCTGTAAACTGTAGGTAATAATAAATAAATAAATAAATAAACAATATTGAATAATCTCCCAAGCATCTTGACATCTACAACATTAGGGAGATTATATAGCAGGGCATTTCATGATATGGTCTTATACATAATTTACTATCCAATTATGTACCTATAAGAGACAAAACGAATTTATATAATCAAGCTATTATTAGACTATTACCTAGAATAAGATACCCATTAATAGACTCCCGGGGATATCTAAAGTTTACGCTAAGCCGCAAGCTCAGCTAATCGCATAACTTTCACGAGGAATCGACAAAATTATAAAACCACTATAAGCTACAATGATCGTTTACCATCAGTCAGACTTGATGCTTGTTTGCCACCTTCGTGGTATAAAAAAAACCACTAATAACAAATTCATAAAGTAGTATATCTAATTCGAATATTATTACCAATATCTGCAAATTTCTGATTCATCCTGACATACAACCATCATAATAGAAATGCGAACAAGGAAAATACAAACCCATGTCACAATATTATTAACGACCTAGTTGGACAAGTATTTTAATAAAATGCATATTTTCTTCCAGATTGATTGCCACTCTACATTTGGGTACATAGAAGTACCACTCCGCTCACCCCTCATGCCTTTCCACTCCTAAAGACTAAAGTGTTATGCCTCCGACCTCGTAATTTCACCGCTATATACCATTCTTCAAGCCATCACAGCTACCTGACTTTATTAGAGATAATATATGTAAATTCTTAAAAACTATATTACTTTAACAAAATATTAATTAAAATTTGACGTTCATAAGCGGCTAAAATGTCCTACATGAATAAATGATTTTTGAATTTGAATTTGAATTACTATATTATATGTAATATCAAGTCCAAGAATTCTTGGTCAAAATTGGAGTTTTTAATGATTTACAACGGTTTCTTATTTTAAAACTGATGGATATAAAAAACATGCTGTGTTCCCAAGATGGAATAGCGTTAAAGAAACATTTCCATTTCCGGGAATTACAGAAAGACAAATATCCATTATTATTGTCAATTATGAAGATAATCAATACAATTTAATACGAACTAGAAATAGGTAAGAAAGGGGGCTTTTAGACTTCAATGATGTAGGTATTTTTTTAAGTTCAATAATAAATAAGTAATTATTCATATATTCATATTCTTTAGTCAATATTGTTGTAAAAACTGACACTGTGAAAGTTTTTCAATTAACTTGCAACATTTCCTATCAATATGTAAATGGGAAGTCACGGAAAATAATGGAAACTTTTTAAAGTTCGATTCCAAACTTATAAATAATGATGAAGGGAAACCTTAATATACTCGTATATTAATTTATGCACAATAATAAAGACGACAAATGTGGATATAACAAGACAATAAGTATAATTATCAAATAAACATATGAAAGGACCATGTACGATGTTTATTTATTATCAAGTTAAATGTTGCATTTATATATGAAAATGTGTTAATCTACAGTATATTAATTTATGGTAATCGATTACATGTTATTCGTAATACAGATGTGGATGATTAGTACAGCTATATGATCACCGATGATCTAATCTCCTCCGCATAAACAAATCTATACAACAAACAGAACTATTGATAAAATATTTCTACATAAAATAAAAAAAAAAAAACCATTGTGGACGCTCAACAAAAGGTTTAATCTGTACTCTAGTGCTCTAAATATTACAGTACACAACTACACAACATCAAAGTGATTGAATTGAGTTTTCGTTACGTGTAATGCAATCGTGTAAATCGATTCACTGTTGGCAAGCTATTGCTACCGTGACAAAAACCCAATCCAAACGACATACCACCATAACAAGCTGTTCGTGTGCAAATCATAGATTGTGGCGTGGAGCAACGTAATCGGAAAGTGTCGGAAACGAGTGCATTACGCGGTGCCACCGCCGGCGCTGTGCGCGCTGGGGTCCCCACGTGCCAATGATTGAGCTGTGGCCACATCAAAAGTAGCACGACTGAACTGTATCCAGTTAAATAAATTACTTGGTCAATGATTAATTACAAGCTAAGTGGTACACCGTGCCACCTTTGTTGCAGCCAAAGCCCAGTATGGAGGACTGTACCGATCGTGAGTTGCGCACGGGCAGCGTATGTCCGGAGTCGCCGGCGCCCTCGCCCTCCGCGCCCTCGCGCAGGAAGCCGCCGTCGTCCGACGACGAGCCCGAGGGGTCCTTGCGCGCCATGTCAAACAATCACGTGCCAATCATACAAGACAATACACAGTGCACAACTTACTGGTTCCGTCGCCTCATCGTCCGACTCGCTCATGTTCAGATATCGCATAAGACAACGTGCAGTCCTATTGTTTTACGAGTAGAAAGTGAAACTGGAATGCTAACACGTCTGAGCGTGGAAAATCGATGCGACCCGGTGTCCGGCGCGTGTCAGACGTCGTACCCATACAAGTTGGAAGGTCGGCCGGCCATCAATCATCGGCCAATAGGAGGCTACGCGACACGAGACTATAGCCAATGTTTATAAACACAGACATTATAGTCACATGTATTCCCTATAATAAATTCAATTCGTTTGATGCCTATATTTTAATGTTTCCTAATGCTATGTGATTTGTAGCTAGGTGTCGTGTTGTGTGGTGAGCGTCGTGCGCGAACAACGGCGTTGCCTCGGTAACGGTGCAATTTAAAATAAATGGTTCGCCAAGCCACTACGTGCCGACTGCAAAATGATCACCTGCCAGCTGATGATGTATGGGAACATTTTCTACATTTTCCCTTGTAAGTACGCAACAGCCGTGACACCGATGCGGTGATAAATTCCATTCATCGATAGATCGATTGTTAAATACTTTCACTTTAAATTTCACAGGTGCTCTTCATATTGTAAACTAGGGAGCTACAGTTGTATTTGCTAAATAATTTTGTATGATACTGATTTCATACTGAAAATTGAATTTTTAGCGATATACAAGGGCGTCATGAGCCAAACGCACATTCGCCTTTCGCGGATATGTCAGTACAACTGTGTCGTGGTGTAGATTAGCAACGTGCTTCACGACCCAAACAATGAGAGTGATCGCGGCTTGGTACGCAGTTCAAGCGCCCTTGCTAATCGATAAACATAAATGAAACTTCCGTTTGATTATATCGCTAATGTGATACACGATCGATCGTAACCACGAAAAACATTGTTGGCGAAAGCAAGCGAACTGCGACTGCAGGCTTTCAGCAAATTGGGTCGAACTGACCTTTGTACTAAGTGAAAACAACTACCGCTGCACGGCTGCAGAATTTACGAGTACGTAACGTAGATTATTTTAATGGTTCATTTCACATAAATTGGTATTAAAGCAAGGCTACCTGCATCAATTGGAGTCAAGCTGGATTAATAAAGGTTTTATTAATTTATAGCGATAATGGTCAGAGATAAGTCGGCACATTACAAGTTTACATTAGTACGAGCAATTTGTATTAGATAATGGAATGGAATACAAGGAATAAGATCAGTTAAATTGTAAGTTACAATTGTCACACTGCGTTAGATGATAGCACGTTCTTTGTGGTGAATATTTCAATTTTAAATTGTCAAATTGTTTTACTACAAGCAAGCACTATTTGTGGCGTTGAACCTTATTTATAATGTTGCGCTATGTTCATAACATTGATAAGAACTGCGTGTAGATGTTTCAATGTGTTGTTGTTCTGTACCCATCCTATGTCTCATCCCACACATCAGTTCAGATCAGAAAATTAGTTGAGATAAGAAAACATATTGTCTCAACTGATTTTTTTTCTCTGTATGCCTCCATTGAGTATCCCTAATTCATAATTTGAAAAAATTCTAAGTTAAAATCTGACAAGAAAAAAATGTTACTTCGCGGAACACGTTTCAGTTCTAATAAGTAATTTATAAATAATATAATCACATGAGTTAGGGTAACAATTTGGGACAAATGAGAATGAGATATCATAGGACGAATACGGAACTTTTTCTTGCGTCTCGAGAGATGTGTACTAGGGTAGCATAAACTATACATACCCTAGCGAGTTTGTTGGGCATGGGCTGCAGATGCGGCGTGTGGTGACGGGGTCCGATGGCGAGCTCGGGGTTGAGGGCGATAATGGCGTCGATCTCCACCTCTTTGCCCTTCGTCTCGCCGCGTTCGTACCACTCCACCGTGACGGACCTCGTTTCCTGGTTGACCCCCGACACGATGGCCGAGTGAATCCGGCCTGGAATTTAGACAATTATTTCGTTAGGAATGTTATTTTTTCTAAATAGGATTCATAAAATTTTATTGGTAAAAAGCGATTCTAGATAAAACATAGAATGAACTAATTCATTTAGATAAGGTAAAAACCCTAAAATTTAAAGTAGTTTTATAGTAGATATATAAAAATTATAGCATTTAATATAATATTTGAATGAATAAGTATACTTTATTTGCATTATACAATATCGGGGAAAAACAAGACAATTAATAAATGTAACGATACAATTATATAAGTACAGCAAGGTGGTCTTATAGCTAAAAGTAATCATGCAATCATATTTCTACTAATACAATGTAAAAATTTAAAGACAGTTACCCAATCACAGTTAATAGGATGAACCGATTTGAATTACATTTGAGACAGGATAGATATTAAACCATATACTAGGACACATAGACGATTAATACATAGTATCCCAATTCACGTGGGCAAAGGCTCAAATTATAACTAATAAACGTAGGATTAATTGAATATTTTGTTACTAATGTGGACTGAAAGCAGATGTAGTGACAAAAATCGAAGAGGAAATGTTACGTTGGTTAGACCATTTGGAGACAATGGATGAAAGAAGAATTACGAAAGAGATTCATCGAGCAAGAATGAATGGAGATATCGGTAGGGGCTGCCCTAGATAGATGTATTTCGACCAAATAGGCGACGTACTGAAGAAGGGCCAAATTAAAAATACCCGCAACCGGCGAGCGTGTATGAAAAGATTGATGAAAATGAAAGAAGCGAAAGAGGTTTGTTTGGATCAAAGCATTTGGCTTTCTATTGTTTCTGTCTATCCTAATAGGAGACAGGCGTAACAGATATGTATGCATGTATTGTTCTTTCAATAAATTATTCACCAAATATTTCTAATAGAGCATGCAGCTCAGTTACCAAGTGAACAGAACTCACACGTTTACCAGCTACGTGTAACATGTAATGCGTATTTGTTTGTACAGATGTTCCTACATCGATTTGTTTCCAAAATAATCGCGTTCGCGCACGGTTCTTCATTTCTTCAGATGTAAACAGATATTTTATTCAATCTGTTAAATTTAATATCTGGTTAAAATCAACATGGTTCTTAGAAATATTAAAATTTCAGTATGAGAAAGACAATGAATAGGGGAAAACAGTGCCCTATCAATAACTAAATAAAGATGTCTTTTAAAAATCAAATAATGTTTGTCTGTCTATCGAACGCTTTAATACATAATACTGATACTGAAGACTAGAAAGAGGTGGGTGCAAGCCAGAAAATAACTGCACAGATTGAAAATGTACATTGTCATTAAAATTGTTAAAAAATATTAATGAAAAGTAATATATAATTAACTATATTTGCAAAGTAAGTAATGCAGGAAAAGCAATATGTTTTAATACAAAGGAGCTAAAAAACATGTCACTGATGACAAATTCGTAATTCAAAGAATGTCGATTAATCTAACCTTAGTATTATATTACAAGGACAGCAATTTCGTACATTTACAAAAGACTAAAGATTAAGATATGATACAGACATCTCAAAAGCGAAAAAAAATATCCATATGTCTCCATGACCTGAATTATATAAAGGCATCTTTAGAAATATTTGAATTACTTTACATTGGAGAACAAAAATTCAAAGCTATATAATCAAATCTATAAATTTGCATATTTTAAACCCAAATCCAGGAAAATTGTGTTTTAAAACAGGTATTGATAGGTTAGGATTATTACAAATTTTTCAGTTAAAAATATGAAAGCAACAACGCGTTCACGGTTTCAAATACGTAGTAAAATAAATAAACAGACTGTTGTCGCGGTTGGCTTCGAATACACAAAACGGTTAACTACTGCCAAACTCCAAGAAAATATAACAGAGTGACGTCGGCCGAAACAGCTGGCACTGGCCTTGTAAATTGACATTGATTAAAAAAAATTATAAAAATGAAATAGAAACTTCGCCTGCGCTATTGGTTTAAACTGGTGTGGTGTCAGTGAGTAATAACAGGTGAAGATGTAGTGAGTTCAGTTAGCCTATCGTAACGAATTCACCAAGAATTAATCACGATGGTTCCCAAAAGGATAGAGATGGATCTGATAGAACATATTGCTTGCAAGGGGAGTCATTAGTCTTCTTTACTGGCCATTCTCTACCCCAGCTAATTCAAAAGATGACAACAAGGAGAAAAGTATCGAGCTTTATCAATATAATCAAGCAGAACATATGGGGCAAAGTCTGAAATATTCTTTAGGAATAATTGAAACGTGATCTATCCAAGAATCTCGAATATTTCAGGATTATTACCACATTAACGTTTCGATATCCACTTGGCGAAGTAGTAATTTACATTAGTAGAACAACTATAACTACTCTCACTATCAGCGTACACAATTAATTGATATCATTACGAAACAATTAAAGTAATAATACGGCCATAACCCACTGCACAAATGTTTGCCTCTTCAATATTTTTCTCTAAACTCTTTCGAATTCATATAACATTCAATATATTGACAGATAAACATTTTACTACAGTTTATACATAAAATGAATAAATGTAGAACAAAAGCTTCCAAGGAGGTCCTGAGATTTTTAATGCCTATCAATGTGTTAAATTAAACCAGCAAAGGGCAAGGTCGGCGACCTTCCTCGCACGACCTGCGTTCCCCTTTATTATTGTCTATCCAAACAGGGAACAACACTGTGTGTAATTCTAGTGTTGATCAGATTCATAAACCATTATAACTCTTATTTTCTATCGCATAAAGATTACGCAGAATGAAGTTAAACAATATGTTTAACTTATTGCTTTACATGATCATAAAATGTACCATTTGGTATACGTATAATGTATGCTAGCTGTCGGCACTAAACGATGCTATAATAAGACTTCAGACCGCCGTGAAAAGAAATTATAAACAGTACGATCCTATAATTAAAATAAGTATAAAATATACAAGATAGAGGTGGAATATACGCAGACTTGTAGCGGATGATAAATTATCCAAACGTTCTGAATGCCCAGCGAAAGTAGCGCGTCATTGTAATCATTTGCGCTCTCGTGACGTTCAGACTAATTTTGAGGGGCATTCTGTGTAGAAATCGGTAGTGTTTAGGTAAATAGAAATTTTGAAATTACATATGTATTAGGCAAAGATAAATTGATTGAACACTGTAAATTTACAAGTATATCATGTAAAACTATTGGGTTTGGGATTAAAGAACCTTCTTGCAACATAATTTTGCAAGAAGGAAGGGAAATAGCAAAATTGCGCGCGGATAAAATCGTAGGATTTCCCTTTAGTGATCAATCGCCCATCCAATGTCAGCATTAACAAATTACAGTGATGATGCTTTAATGTATGCTAGTATAAGTCTGTCAATCATAAGTATTTCGTATTGAACACACGCCCGTCGCCATGGTTGCACTTCAGCACCGCATCAATAAAAGTGGAACATGACGTCGGAATACATAGCGTTGTTATTTGGAATACGATTTGCGACATGGCTGTTTTATTTCTCTTTTCTGATATTTTTTACCATTTCGGTCATGTCGAAAAAATATTACGTATTAATGATGTATATTTTTTTTATTCAATACATTTAAATTTAATAAAATAAATTAAAATTAAAGTACTCGCAACCGGCGACCATGTATGAAAAGATTGATAAATGTGGAGGAAGCGAAAGAGGCGTTTTTGAATCGAAGCATTTGGCGTTCCATTGTTTCTACCTACCCTAATGGGAAACAGACGTGACAGATATGTATGTATGTTCAATATAGAAAGAAAGGAATACAATAGAAAAATGTTATTATTTCAAATTTTTCAATTTAATAGACAATAGAGGTGTTATAAAAAAAGGTAATGAATGAAGCAATGGTGCAAACTACGATTTTGATAAGAACATCAGATCGAGGACATTGACACTCTAGTATTAACAACTTCTAAATTGCAAACGATAAATATAAATGTAAATAGACATGTAGAGACCAGGAATTTTAGCGAATAGGCCAAAATATGCGGAGAGTGGGACGACCGAGTTATCCGTGACTTGATTTGCGCTTCACGATTGTAACTCTTTAAATCTCTTTTTTGAAACAAAATTATACTTAATAATTTTTATGTTCATAATACTCAAGTAATAATTGAAATTATACTGACTGATACAAATTTATTATTAGAATTTGAGAGCATAATTAAATGAGGTTCAATGAAATCGAAGAAATTTTCAATTGAACACATCCGGATAGCTTACAATGCTAATTCTATAAGTACATACTATCAGATGTCGCTTGACGAAGCAAGGAATATGGCCAAGCGCCAAAGTATGGTATCGCGACACCAACGTTCCCTGAACTCTTTTCGCCTGAACTTACTTCAGAGAAAAGATCAACACAAACTGGTGAGGTGCACGCCCGTAACAGTTTTATTCGGTCTCGGACCGAGTGTCATTGACCCGTTAACGCATCACTCTGAGCTAATTATAATTCGGTTGCGTTTCCTTATGTGTTCATAGACACAGACCAAACAAACATTTCCGCGACTCGCGAAATCAACGGACAGTAACGGAGCTGATCTTCCGACAATTAAACGCGATTACTACGATCACTTATAGACTTTATTGTTTCTATTACTGCATTTAAGAAATAAGTTGATTTCTAACTACCACAAACACGCATCAATTAAAACAAAGACGATAATATATTTACTGCGATTAGCCACAACAATAAAAAGGAAATAAAAATTAGACAATGCAACCTATAATTAACGTTATAAGGTAAAAGTTGTTAGAAACTAAATTACGCTACTGTTTCCCACGGTCAAGTTTGCAACAAGGGAGAGAATGGGAGGCAATTACTAGTGAATGCTGTAATTTCTGCAAATAAAAAATACATAGTTTAATTGACCAACAAGTAATCCGTTGATAAATTAACTATCTTCACGAAGTCTCTTACGGAGTGAGCAGAGATTCGAGAGGCAAAGTATCCTAGAAACTGAAATTACCTATTCTTTACCTATATACAAATAAATGTTAAATACATCCTACGAAAGTTGGCATCCTAAATGGCGGTAGCTTTGTGTAACTGGCTTAATTAAATTAGGTCAATAATAGAATTCACTCCAAAACTTAAATATTTTTAGAGCTACTAAGTGAAGTGATCAACAAGCATACGACTGGCCTCATTATAAACTGTTACCGTATTCTCAACTTTCACTGATTTTCTCGTATTTGTACCATGAAGCAACAATACGTAAATTGCTCATTCAGGTAAGGAAATAAGGTGCAATATCTGACACAATAGACCTATTCATATTTTATTTTTCTTTTTATGCAACTTAGAATGGCAAACAAGCTGACGGCCTCCCTGATGGAAAATGGTAACCGCCGTCTATAGACATGAACAGTACTATGGACATAACAGAGTATACTGTTTCGCCCATGATACCCCCAATGCGATGGCATTCCTGAGGACTAAGGTGTTATGGATCTGTATCCTGTAAATTCACTGCCATATACCAACCTTCAAATCGAAAAACAGTCATGCAAACACAACTGCTTCACGGTTGAAACACGAATGGAACAGATGTACCCAAGTAAATGACTTTTGTACAAAGTCTCCAGGGGGAAACTTACCTAGGAAGGGTAATGTTGTGAAACATATTAAAATTAAAATTGCAAATGTGAAAATGAGCACCTTGACGACTGAGCTCTGAAATCCGGTATATACTTTTAGCATGGAGGAGGATATTATACTACTTTCTAAACGCGAAGGAAATTGCAGGAAAAGTTAGCAATCTATAATGTAACCTTAAGCTTATTTGTCCGTCTCTTCCAACTTTTGTGACACAAAGGACATAATCAAGACACATATAAGAGATACCTGGTAGTCGCATTATTAATGGATAATACACATATTTAATTAAAAATATTTAAATCATGCAAGCAAATATTGAATTGGGACAGATTAAACGATCACAAAACACGTATGTACTTACAAGTGTAAAAACCGAAATCACAGATCTCGTTTTACAGATATACGAAAGAGAACTTATCGTTAAAAACGACGAAACGCAAAATTTAACTCAGACAATTTTTTTATTTCTAAATATCAAATATTAAACTAAAATTCCTTAAAAATTCCATTAAATAAATGACAAGATATACAAATATAAAATTGTTAGCACTAATTTTCTCAAAGAAGCTTTAAGAGCTATGTTCTAAATAACACATACGCAAGATAATGTTAGTAGATAATAAATGAAAGCAACGGACGTGCAGGCTGTCAGTGCAACAATCAAACAGCACAAAGGTAAATGTTTAAACTCCGTGCAGGTCAATTTCGTGGCGACTAGGGTTAATACATTGCTTTCGCTGTAACATATCCAATTACGGTTCAAACGAAGGGTCTAAAAGTTCAGGTTGTTAAAATGATTTGCATGAAATTACATTAGTAGAATGCTAAGTTTTCTAAGATAAACATCACGATTCATTTATAAAAGTTGAATTAAGCAAACTAATAGTTGACTTTGAAAACAAAGTGGAAGTTGCGAACAACAAAGTAAATCATAAACCATAACAGGAGAATGTAAAGCTAGGCTAGATCACAGATAGCAAAAACACAGTTTTCAGTGCACCAATCCCAAATATAACTAGACACAACACAATTCGATTATAAAAAAAAGTGTCTCACAGATTGTGCAGAGTAAAAGTAGGTTCTTATACGAGTAATGAGCTAGCTACTCGCATAGCAATTTCGCAGTCAGTCCACGGCCGTGGCCCACATAAAAACAACAATCGTATGTTTAATACATCATTATCTGCGGACAGGCGGTTGTTCCGCTTTACGGTTTTTTAACTTTTGCAACCACTTTCGTTGGGAGCTTTGAGAGGAGCACAGTTAGTTTGCATCTGTCTAATGTTATTGACGATTGTATTGACGACTATTGTTTTATTATTTATCATAAAACAACTAATAAAGTGAAACACAATCAACATTTTATAGTTATAACGTCTGTTTAATGAATCTTTACACACAAAAACAAATATAACTTCAAATATAACATTTCAATTACAATTTATTATTCATCGTGCACAACGTTCATAACACAATATTTTTTTAATTAATAAGCATATAACTATAATAGTTTCTGTTCTAAAAAATTAAATTATGCGTTAAATTTAAAATTTAACATTTCAGTTTGTACGACAAAAAACTGATAGGCAAATTTTCGATATGCTTCAATACTAAGGTAATACAGCACATATAGGTATTATCAATTTAATTATTTCTACTATTTATGGTTTAAGTACTTTATTTTTATCGTTTTTCTTCTCTACTTGATTAACTGGACCTCAAGAATTGTATGTTATATTCATAAAAATTCATAATCATTTGGAGTATGAGGTTAACGAAAAGTTGCCAACATACAAACAAAAACATACTACTCTTTTAACGGCATTTACCCAATTGTAATTAAGGCAAAAAGTCGATAACCTGCAAATAATAATAGCCCATCTCTGCTGATCAATTATTTATAATACTTTTTTTCCAGTGACGATCGACAAGGCAGACCTGCGTGACTCAGAGCACAACCAGTTGTAACCGGCTAGACTAGCGGCGCCCGCGCACCTCGACGGTATGCCTTTTAGGGTTGTTATGTAAAATAATCGAGTCAAGGCGACAGTAATACTGGACTTTCTGCGACCACTTGACACCAAAACAAGTTATATATATTAACTCATTTTTGAAAATTGTTTTAATGATTATAAATTCTTTATGTTTATCATTAAATATATCTACTACCAATAAAAATACTTCATAGAAATATGTAAACTACAATGCTTCATCATAAAGTAGCCTTTTACAAAAACCTAGGGATGACCCTTGAGTTTTTATAAGAAGCTGCTATGAGAACAAGAATAAATCTGTGAAATAAAAACCTATACCTTCCAAGCTGTTAACACAGCATGGTAATACAATATTATCTGATGATATAGATCTATTTAGTAGTTAGACATTAAAATATCGTTATAATAACTATAAGAGAAATATGACAATACGTCAGAACATAAAGAGACAACCCTGCAATCTTCCCACAATAGAATTCACAACAATTAGATTAAGTGTAAAACACGCTTAATAATTAAATGTGCACTTGAATAATAATATAATATTTTTTACTAATATATCATTATTACTACGTGAAAAATACAGGATACATACAACAAATATGACTTAGACCGTGACGTGACCAATGGCGGCATTACGTGTATGTAATCCTTGGAATGAGAACCAAATATAGGTAATTATGTTAATTTAATTTCTAGATATTCTTATCTTAGGATATGTTTAAGGCCAAGCATTGTGTAGGTTATACAAATATCACTACATAGTATAAAACAAAGTCGCTGTCGCTGTCTGTCCGTCCCTATGTATGCTTAAATCTTTAAAACTACGCAACGGATTTTGAAGCGGTTTTTTTTTTAATAGATATAGTGATTCAAGAAGGTTTATAAGTATAATACATGCATAATATAGTAGAGAAACAATGATAATTTTAGAGGTTTCAAATCTGATGTGATGTGATGTGCACCCGTGCGATGCCGCGGCGGGTCGCTAGTAAAATATAAAACTGACAAAAAGAATAGCTAAAACAAAGTTTCTAGTATAGTTTTATATTGAGTTAAATATTTTCAATAATGTTACAATTGTATAAAATTAATATACATGCACAAATTGTTAATAATCGCATACATATTTAGTAGTGCATAGAAGACAACTTCACCAGCTATGCAAAATATATTAGGCGCGATCAAATCGCAGTCGTCCTGTTATGCAAATCCTGAATAGACATGCACGCAAATATCCTATAGTGAAAGCCAGCTATTGTATACTATTGGGAGGTAATATTTTATAGCACTCGGCTTTAGTGTGGTGCAATCAATATTGACATTTACACTCAGTGTAGGGCAACAACACACGGAAATGTCTCAGTAAGATAATGTGCTCTCAAATTTGTGTCAGCAAGATAATAAGGTTTTGTTTACAATAAATAACTTAATAACTACCATGTGACGGAGTAAGATGCTCGCCACTTACCACGAGAAGAGGAGACTAAAGGAACTAAGAATGAAACCAAAAAAAATCTCGTAATAAACTTTTTTCAAGTGTTCTGGTTATAACCATCTTCGTCATACAGAAAGTAATCCATGTTTACTAATAAAAACTTAATAAAAACGTGTAATTTTGCACAGGAGCTCCGTATACTGTAATATTTTACGAAATGCTCATAGGACCGATTTCTCGTAATTTCCCGATTTCCAGAGCAAAGCAGAGCAGTCTTGATCAGAAAAATCACAACACATTCATTTATGTAGGTTTATATTCATATGTATATATTAATATTATATCTTTGAAATATAATATATATATATATATATATATATATATATATATATATATATATATATATATATATATATATATATATATATATAATGATTAATTATTTATGTAAATATTTATTTTAATTTCTACCACATATACCACATATTCCTACCACATACCACTGCGTTAGGTTGACTGGAAGAAATCTCTTTTAGAGATAAGTTAGCCTTTGCTAACATCGTTATTAACTTATTGTTGTTACTGTGTGTTTTAGTGCAATAAAGAATATATATATACAACCTTTCCCCATAGAATTAGAATTTTACAAATACCGTCATCATCATCATCATATCATCAGTCCACTGCTGAACATATGTTCTCTCCATAAGGCTGAGTTTTGCAAGTAGTTGCCACGCTTGGCAGGCGGGTTGGCAACCAGTAAATACACAAGTACCGTATTTTTACAGTTAATTAATTATATTTACAGTTAACAAGTAATGTATATTCTATGAATTCTAAAATAAGATTTCATCAGCATCGAATCGCAAATATTCATTAAATTGTGAAAATATACATACAAAAAAAGAACATTCTCCATTCTTTCAGCAAGAAATAAATCATCGATAATGTCATGTGACGTCATAGGACAATTTATATATGACTACACTTACATCAAATTACGTTAAGAATAGTAACCGAATGAATAGTCAAGCCGTATTGATTGGAACGGTCAATAATTCACTATTATATCAAAGGGTTGACATCGAAACATTTGTGTGGGCTATTTAAATTGTTAGGTTTACATTAGTCATTGTGGTATGCTAATAGCGAAACCTACAAATAAACCTAAGCTTACTGGTAATATAGATTTTAAGTAAACTTATTAAGTATAAAGTTTATTTTGATAATACTGCTTCAAAATGTCATTTCTTTGTAATGTTTAGGAGTTAATCAACAAGAAACTTAAGTTTATTGCAGTTTTTCTCCACATTTCACCTAATCAATAGAAAAGCTAACTGTTCCTATGGTTCTTTTCCTTAAAGACAAGAGCTAGCTATTTTTATATATTTTCTTAATACTTTTTGTAGATAATAGCCTTTTTTGACGTATCATATGACAGTGTTTCTTTTAGTAAGTGAAGATGGAATGTTGACCCTGCATACGTTACTAGTTTACGCTGCCGAGACACCAGTGAGACATGACAGGTGAACATGAAATTAGAAGCAGATCAGTTAGAAAATAGAGGCGAATTCATAAAAAAAATAACCAAAAGGGAAAAAGGGAAATACATGGGGAGGTCAACCTGATAGAGTATATTGCTAACAATGATGCTGTTAGATCCTCATTACTAACAATCCCTTTATCCCTAGATGACGATGTTACATCATCAAGCACCTTATTATAATCGCATAATGTGATTGTATTTAATGTCAGACCCATCCTAAGAAATTCATAGTTTGCTAAATCTGCACCAAACACAATGCCCAAATCATCATCATCATCATCATAACAGGCGTTAACTGCCCACTGCTGAACATAGGCCTCACCCTATTGGCAGTAGACACCAGGCTTGGCAGGCAGGTTTGGCTACCGCAGTAAGGTTTTGGTGGTATTTTAAGAGATGCTGCTGCCCATTCCTCGACCATTAAGTCCCTTTAGTCGTCTCTTACGACACCCACGGGAAAGAAAGGGTTGGTTCATTCTATGCCGGGACCACATGACAATAGGCTACATTGGGGGGAAAGAGATTGTTAGTTATGAGGTCTAATAGCACCATTGCTAGCAATATACCCTCTTAGGTCGACCTCCACGCGGTTCCACCTGGAAACCAGTATGGTTAATTCTTATCAAATTCATCATGGTGGACTAACTGACCTGCTTTCATCGTCACCAATCATCTATCACTGGTGCCCCGCCAGCGTATACAGACAGCGCAGACGAGGTTACCATTCCATTATCACCCATTAAAAATAGGCTACATTTATCCTAGTCAAATTGTTAAGTTACTAACATTATATTATTTACCAGAGGGAGACTGTACAAAAGTCGTTTACTTGGACACCTCTGTCCCATTCGTGTTTCTACCGTGAAGTAATGTTTGCATGGCTGTGTTTCGGTTTGAAGGGTGGGATATGACAGTAAATTTACAGGATACAAAGGAATAACACTTGACTCCTCAGGAATAGCAACGCATGGGTCGTATCATGGGCGAAACAGTATACTCTGTTATGTCCATGGTACTGCTCATATCTATAAGCGACGATTATCACTTTTTATCAGGTGGGCCGTCAGCTTGTTTGCCATTCTAAGTTGTATAAAAAAAAAAAAAAATTTTTTTTTCATTATTGCAACACTTAACAGAAACTGTCATTATTACCACGGTAAAAACGCTGCACGACAAAATCAGATAAATCTTCACAAATAAGATTGTTATCTAATCAGCTCTAGGTTCAATTGTATTATAGACGCTTTCTTGACACGCCTTTCTAATCAATTTTATCGATCTACACTTCAGAGCAAAGGAATGCATTTTGAAACCGTCTGTTAGTTTACAGTCGACTTATTTCATCTAATTTATATAGCCAATGTAGGACTCCATCTAAGGAATGCAGGAACTTTCTATGGCAAATGAGAATTAAAAAAAAATATTATAAAGAAGCTCTCCTTTTCACTCTCATATATATTCAATGAGATATAATTAAAATTGACATAGAAGTTTGCCAAATATCACATAGCTTATGGACAGAGCTGAGCTGATGACATCAGTAGACGGAACCACAAGTCGCCCACCAGCCGCCCACAGGCACGGAGCCTTGCAAAACCTTCTAGTAAGCTAGAGGCCATAGTAGCATAAACTTAGAGATAGCGGATCGTAATCGTTTGGTATACAAATTATTGCATAATAAATTTTCGATGCGAAAACGATTCTGTTATTAAATCGATAATAAATTATGTAACGTCGTCTTTTTTATGCACACTATTAGTAATAAATACTTAATCTCAAACAAAATCTTGGTTCTGTAGACATTATCACTTTTTTATTAAGTTTTTTTTTTTTATAATACACTAGCTGTTGCCCGCGACTTCGTCCGCGTTTCCGTGGGTTTTCGTAAAATAAGTAGCCTATGTCCTTCCTCACGGTTCAGTAGTTTTGATGTAACAGACACATTTCCCTTCACTGCTCTTCTCCTATTGATCGTAGCGTGATGAAAAGTATACTATAACCTGCCCAGGAGTATG